GGAGGGAGGGAGGGCCAGGCTTCCCCCACCCCACCACCGCCTCCCCGGCCTACTGAACCGCAGCTCGGAGCAAGCCACCAGCCCTAGTTTTACTCGTCTCTGCTGTCTCTGGATGAACGGCGCTAATTCTGCGTCAGTAATTGCTGCCCGTGCCCCTCTCTGTTCTCTCCCTAGTCTTATTTCTTCCCTATGTATCCCTTTCCAACTGCCGTGACAGAACCTCATAGTTCCCCGGGTTTTAGATGGAAAAGCGTGCAAGCCAGGGATTTCATGTCAATCACTACTGTTTTATCTAGCTGCTGTATCACAAATAGCTAAAGAGGATTTTAAGAAGAGGAAGCGACCTCTTTCTACCTTGGACAACATCCTGCCTTTCTCTTTCCACTTTCTCCTTCCCCAGGAGCATCTGTCGTGAGCTGCTAGCACTCAGCTGCACTTTAGGTACCAGCCCGTTCTTCAGAAACCAAATTGGGATTGTTCTCTGTCAGCGCTGACCTGAAAAGCTGCCGGCAATTAGCCTGGTTCTGCGGTGGCCTCCGCGGGCTGCTGGTTTGACCTTCCTGTCTCCTGCCTGCCGCAGGCTCAACGTCCCACCACAGAGCTTTACTTCCCTGACAGAGCATGACAGCGTGCAAGTTTTAATGCTCTGCAGAGCTCCTTTCAGCCCACCAGGTGGTTATACCTTCCAGGGCAAAAAGGTACCCCCCAGACTCGTCAAGTAGAGGTTTCCTTGTTAGAAGGATTTTGGAGGAAGCCTGTACTGAAGCTCCCTTCCTTCAGTAGCCAGCACTTCATATTCGTGCAGCAGGTCATGGGTGGCAGACACATACTTTAAAAGATGCGTCTTTTTAGCTTGGGCTACTGCTCCTTCAGTCTTTCCTGATACCTGGATTGCATACTTTTGCGTCAGTCCCTAGTTGCCTGTGAATGGCCTTTGTGAAATAGTTTGATTTAATGAGCAAATAGTAACTTTCCAGAATCATCACCGCACATGGAAATTGCATTGGCAACCTCATCAGAACAGTTGAAAAATAGACGGGCAGGCAACTGAAGCAATCTCTTTCTACCTGGGAGAGATGTACACTTTGCTGTTGAGGCTTTTCCTGATCCGTAGAAGTAGAACTTCAGTTTCCAGAGCCATTAGCCACAATTATTACACTTGTCCAAAGACAGTTAAATGGCTATTAAAAAGAAACATACATACATGGTTTGTTAATGTTTTCAGTTATATACCTTGAAGAGTGTACTAAGTTGCAGGTTGTTTAAAAAACATTCTGGCTTCCATGGTATCATCCTTTTTGTCTGACTGTTCACATTACCCTGATTTACAAATGCCCTTTGAAAATCACACATACGAGCCTTTCCTTTTCTTCTTCTTTTTTGCCTCTGCCTCTTCATACTTCTGTCTTTTATATTCAACATTGACCTACTTTCTCTATGTCTTCTTTTACGTTCACTCCTTTAGATGTCACTTTGCTTCTCAAAAGGTATTCCTAAACTCCTTTGACCTCATGGTACGATATCTTTTCTAGTTTCTCTTTGGATTTCTTAACATTGTGCAGTTTTTTCTTTTTGATCACTGGCCAACACCAAAGGTTTTCAGGCATTGAGCAGCTCCTTAATGTGTGAGTTTTGAAGCATACTCTCTGAAGCTTATTCTGTGCAGCACACCAAAGTTACAACTGCTGTGTGGCTGAAAATGCTTTGAGGGAAAGATCATCCAAGAAAAAAGCTCAAAAAAAAAAAAAAAGAAAAGAAAAGAAAAAAGAAAAGAAAACAGTTCAGTAAAGAGGAGTCATGAGTTTACTTCTGATTAAGACTTAACCTGCTTCAGAAAATGTCACCAGCCCACACATGCTTAGCCACTGAAATCTCTAGTGAGAGAAAAGGTCCTCAGTGTACAGTCACATCTGTAACGATGCAAGCTGTAAAGGGTAGATAGTTAAAATAGTACATTATGACATTTTTCGTATAATATGAGACCAACGTCAATGTCTTTACAGGAAGCTTTCTGAACATGGCTAGAGAGTGTCTGTACAATGCAGGAGTAATCTGGCCCCCATAGGAAGGTCTGTAAGTACGGAGCTCCTTGCTGCCACAAGTGAGGAGAAGCCTGTACAGCACAGTCCTGCTTTCTGCAGTTCATATAGGAAAGGAATGGTCTCTCAGTGGAGGGAAGAAGAGGGAAAAATGAAGGCAATCCCTTGGGAAACGATGAACAGAGCAGACCTTTTGACCTACCTAATTGCTGACACATGAGACTTGCAGTCTGGATCGATTGCTTGGACAAAGGCAAACGGTGTCTCAGTTGGTATGACTGCCGGGAACACTGCATAATGAGTGTGCCAGGGGAGCTGCACAGGGGCAGGCGTTGCAGGGAGGGCACTTGGTTTCCAAGTGGGAAATAGAGACCCATAGCTGAATTTCA